TTCACAATGGCTCTAGAAATGACAATACAAGTTATATCTGAGCAATGTGAATACTTCTTGATTTGAACATGCTGGTCTATCGCTTATTTTTATTTTGCGTTGTGCAGATTTCAGCTCCCTCCAAGAAACTGCTCTTCAGTGCTTGGCTAAAATATACTTAAAATCCTCCTTTGCTTTGCTCAGTTTCTAAGACTCACACTGAAACTAGTTTTAACATGAATGGTAAGGAATAGGAGAAACAGACTTTGTGGAAATCCTTTTAAACATAAATGCAAAAGAATACCTTGCTCCTTCAATGTCACCTTCATTGCAATAAGCAGCAATCAACCTCTGGTATGTAACCTACAGAAAACAAAAAGAGGAAGTTAATGATTTCCATCCAATAAATGGATACTACTATTAAGAATGTTGGTATCATAAAAGGGTACCTACTCGATTGGGCTGCACATTAGCTTCCTCCATTCTGGCCAAGAATTCTGTCGGAGAAAATCTGTGCTCATTCTGAAGGTAGACTTTAAGTAAAGCATTGTAATGGCTTGTATCATACACAGCACCTACAGAAAGAGTTCAGCAACAGTCAGTGAATGTAGATTCTCTAAATTCAACAGGGTTTTATAGCTTTCTCAGGTAATTAATTTCATGTCAATTTTACTGTGCGTGAAGGTTATGTATAATCAGACTGCTTCCTTTTATTTGAAATATCAGACATCTATTAACAGCACCTGTGTTTATAAAAGGCTAAAACATCAATGCTCCTGTGCATGCTATTCCACAGTCTCTACAGCTGGGTTTATTTTACAGATTCAGCAATACTACTATCAAAAAGCAGTTCACCTATGCGTTACCTATAGATAAATAACTCGCTTAAAATAAAAACAGCATCTGAAAATAGCTGGCAGCACTAGGAATACTCAGCCCACCAGATATCAAGGTAACATCTAACAGAGAAGTAAAATACAAAAACAAAAAAAATCAAGCAAAAGTCCAATTTAAGCATCTTACAAATAAATCTTTAGATTTATGAACACCCCTAGATGTCAGTATAACTCCCAGAATTAGCTCTCTCACCTGAACAATAAAATCTACTGTTTATTCGTGAATAACTATAATCTAACCTGCTATAACCCAATATTTAAATGCTACTAAAATTCATTGTCGTTTATTACAAAGAAAGTAAATAAAGCACAGAATTGTTCTTGCAAGAAGAACTAACAAACCAAACATACCCAGTTCCTTCATCTTGTCCCATATCATATGGGCTAGTTCTGTTCTTTCAGGTGCCAATACCTCTGGCAAAAGAGCACCACAACTTCGCAGCAAAAGCAAGGTCTGGTTACTCCCTGGACACCCTGCAAGTGGAACAAACCCACAAATTTATTCATAAGTAATTATGTATCCAAGATTAGAAAAAAGATTTGATACTGACCCACGGAAATATTTAAGCATTTTCTACAGAACAGAATTTTCTCCAAGCCTGAAGACTTTTACCGAAGAGGATACCCAAATGTTGAAACAATGGCATTGCTGTGCACTACCATGAGAAACATTTGCAATCAAACATGGCATTAGTACAATAATGAGCTCAGCTGAGCAGAAATTTTAAAAAATTACAACATAAACCCTTAAAATCAGATTATCTAGTACTTTCAGTTTCTCAATTTAAGATCCTTAGATCATTTCATCCTAACAGAGAGATAACTTGCTGGTAAATTTCTAAAATGTCAAAATACTTTATACCAATTCCATACTATTCCAAAACTGGTAGTCAGATACATTCTACACGTAAACTTCTACTTCTGACCATCTTCAATATAAAATAAAAGATCATTTACATGTAGAGAGCAGTGAGGCAAACTGTAAGATTATCTGCCTTATGTACTAGTCCCCAGAATGTCAAAAAAGTAACTATAAACTCATCTCTTTCTTGGACTTCACTACCACTCCTGTGGCAAAGTAAGGCAAAACCTCAGAGTCTATCACAGATTACCCAATAAACTGGAGATATAAATTTTTTTTCAATCACATCTTTAGATGCAAACCCAGCAATTTCTAATAATGGACTTCACTACCACTCCTGTGGCAAAGTAAGGCAAAACCTCAGAGTCTATCACAGATTACCCAATAAACTGGAGATACTCATCTCTGGACTTCACTACCACTCCTGTGGCAAACTAAGGCAAAACCTCAGAATCTATCACAGATAACCCAATAAACTGCAGACATAAATTTTTTTTCAATCACATCTTTAGATGCAAACCCAGCAATTTCTAATAAAAAGCACCATACTATAAAATATCATCAAGTCACACTTGACTAACAAATCCATGCACACAATTACTTCATGGGACTTCACTACCACTCCTGTGGCAAACTAAGGCAAAACCTCAGAATCTATCACAGATAACCCAATAAACTGCAGACATAAATTTTTTTTCAATCACATCTTTAGATGCAAACCCAGCAATTTCTAATAAAAAGCACCATACTATAAAATATCATCAAGTCACACTTGACTAACAAATCCATGCACACAATTACTTCATGCAATAAAAATGCCATCACATTTTCAGTTTCGTAATGCCAGGGTTATAACTAGTGACTGAACACCCTGAAAGGCAAAAGAAAATGTAAAAGTTTTGGCTGTATGAGTATGGAAGGATGCAGGATGAGGACTCCTGTAAGCACCTTCTTCAGGCATTTTTTGTGTTGTAATGAGAAATAGAAGAACAATACAAACACAGGCAGAAATCAACACTAACCTCCCACACTTCTGCTAAATCAGTTTCATTAATATTAATAATAAAGGACTACATTTTTCATATGGAAATATTTGCCATTTATTCTAACAGCATGCTAGTTAAATCTCTTGTGAGGTTCTATGCTTTCATTTTTAAATACAGTTATAAAACCAAAGGAAAACACTATCAGCAATTAATATTTTTGTTAATATGACTTCTTAAAAACTGTGGAACTAGTTAAAGATCGTGAAGAATTATTTGCAGAGAAGTTTAGAGACATCAAATTCTTGCCAACCCACACTTGCAAATTAGAGGTTTATATCTAAAAAAGACAAAGCAGACAGAATCAGAAAGGATATCATAAGCAAAAGGAAAAAACTCAGTAGTTCAACAGAAAGAGCATGAATTGAACACTCTGCTCTTACACAGTGAAACACAAAACTTTTAAAAGCACAGTCCCAGCTATAGAAGCCATTACAGTCCAGACCAACACAGAGCAATCATTAAAACTTGAACAAAACAATACACGCTGCCACTGATAAATATTGGCAGTAATACTTAGTGAGTATATTCAGCAAATATCTCCACTGACTCATCCTAGCTGGGACCAAACCTCATCAATTGTGGCAGCTGGTTTGCAAAATACTAATGTAGTCTGGCTCTTTTAGCCAAAGGGGTATTGAACCTGTCAGAATAGACAATGCCTCAGCTATTTGTTTTTTGTTTATTCAAAAAAAATAAAGCTTTCTTGTCATGAATAACCACAGCTACCTGGGAATGTGGAAACTTGGGGATCACCTCCCCATTTCCCTGTTACAGTGCCATTTTAAAACAAATAATGTTTTAAGGACAGCATGGTTTATCACAGACACTTCAAAAATATACTGTGTAAAACAAAGATATTACCCTTATTCAGAGTGCACAGTTACATGAGGAAGGTACAGCATTGCCAGATTAAAAATCCACCATAAGCAAGGCAATGTGATAAGATTTCTTAAAAGCACACTGAAATTTTACAAGGCCTAAAAATTCCCAAAGACAAAAAAACTCTGGAAAAGCAAATATGCATTCAAAGCAAAATAACATCTCTAAAGTATTTAAAGCCTGTCCATCAACATATGCAGCAGATTAAACAACACTCAAAGACAAAATAAATGAGAACTCTTTCATTTCCTTGGTTTGCTGAATCGTTATACAGCAGCTTGAAAGCTAGCTTTCATTTTGTTTTAACTGGAGCAACTTACCTGCTTTGCTTATTTCCTGGAATATTTTTAGAAGAAGAGTTTTAGGGATGCGGCCAGTTTTCCTGACAGAGTTATCCACTTTATTTAATACCCAGTCAAAGTGCCAAGTCTGTCTGGTTCGATCTTCTGAAACTGGTTCTTCTTTAACACTTCCCTCCTGCTGAGGTGCAAGCGTAAGGGCCCTTATTTGGTTCATAACATTTCTGCTTAAATAAAAACAAAGGAAAAAATAGAGATTACACTTCTGTGAGTCATTTTTGCAACTGCACTAGTCACACAATGTCAAAAAGACAATGCACTTGCTGATGAACAGTGTCTCAAAAAACATACCATATTGATATAAACAAACAAATACAGGTGATTTGTTGCAGTGTCTTTCTACTTAAGATATAGTCGTATATTTTTCCACAGTGACCACTGTTTCTCTGAGATTTTCAATGAGGTTCACCACATGAATTAAAAGGTTCAAATAGAATTCTCCCAAAAATAAAAATTTCTAAGTCATCCAATCACTATAAAAGTCTGTTGCCCCATTACAGCTTCTAATGAAATCACTCACACGCCTTTGACAAATCATTCCAAGAACAGTCACACACAGATCTTCCAGAACACAGCAAATCAAGGCAGCAAATTGTATCTTTCTTTTCAATTAAAATACACAAAAGCTAATGCAGAGCTCAGAGTTTTAGACAACCATGGCTTAAAGAACAACAGGATCCTTCCCCATTCTGCAGAACTTACAGTCACCAGCAGGATGCATCTGTCCATTCTGCCATGTAACCCAAACATCAACACTAGATTTGCTACAATATTTTCTCAAAATAAAGTATGACAACAACAAGAAGCAAAATGAGAATGTGTTTCTATTTCTAGCAAAGCAAAGCAGTAAGAGCTTGCCTTTTTTTCCTCTAAAAACCAAGTTGATGTACATAAGAGAATGGTATTTGCGCCATAGCAAGGTTTTGAACGGCCAGTGCAGGTGAAATTATCATTACACACAAGTATATTCAGAACTCTGTTCTCAACTCTCCTTGCAACTGAATAAAATAACTATCATCCTCAGAATCCCATACAAAGAAAGTAATACATGCTGGGTGGCAAAAAAAAGATTCAGCAGCTTCTGAAACTGCCCTCCCTCAGCTCTGGCTTTCTAGATACCTCTTCAGCTATACATTTTTGTAAGCTGTCTAGACGACTTAAAAAAAAACTAGTTGTACTCCCTGTTGTTACAGATGCTCCAGGATTCCTATGCAGTAATGGCTCCACATTTTGTTGAAATGGCAACCTAAAAGCGAGGATTGTAGGCACTCCACAAAACAATTTTACACATCTGAAACTTTTTCACAGGTGTATCTACTGGCTGGTTTCTCACCAACCAGTGCCAGTTTAAAGCCTGAGGAGAGGAAGCCCAGTGGAGAAGCAGCTTACTGGTGGCAATTCAGCAGAGTATCGGCAGCAAGCTGCTATATGACAAAGAAATCATCACTTCAGTAGAAAAAATGACTTGTGGTTTACCATGTGGTTGCCTCTTGTGAGCAAAGAGTAGCCCAAAGACCAGTATTTTCCATACTGTTTGAAATCCTGATTTGATAATTGAGGAGGCAGTAAATTCTAGAATTAACCTGAAGCAGAATCTCTTCCCTAATGGAGTCATGAAAACAGTTTAGTAGATAATAGTTGATTTTTGATGGTCATTTAAAAAAATCCTTTAATTATGAGGAACATCACTACTACTTGGCATTATCTTTTTCAAGCAGGTGATCTTTACAGTGCCTGATCTCCTCAAGTTTGCTCCTGAAAAATACTCCAGAGAACAGCAAATTATCTGCATGGTATTTCAGCAGGGAAAGGATAGGGAAGAAAGAATTGAAGACGGGAAAAAAGATAATCAAAAAAGGACAGATCCCCTCCTTTACTCTCAGTTCTACCTTCTTCTGGATGCAAGTTCCCACTGATTCCTTTGGGCTAGTTCTCATTTAATTCGGATCCCACTGTGAGACTATATAACTTACTAATGTGGCACAAAACCAATTCATCCACTTCTTCGTTAAAAAAAAACACAAACTGTTCCATCCGGTTAGTGTGGAAATAGCTCATGATGGCCAAAAACCACCAGAATCAACCAGAAAATAAAAAGAAATGGAGAAGGAACAGGTGCCTAAAATCAGAGGAACTAGAAAGAAAAATAACACCAAGCAAACAAACTAACCCTTAAACACACTTCTGGTGGTAGCAGCTTGTCAGATCAACACCATCAAACTTTTTTTGTTTTTACTAATAATGCCATCTCTCACAAAGTATTCCCAAGGGTGTAATTTTTGCTGATACCTTTCTTCCCTTTCCTCTTCTCGTTCTACTGCATCATATAACCAGCCACAGGGTACTTTCCATAAAACAGAAATCACTAGACTAATTCAAATAAAATCCAGTAGTACAAGGTAAGAATGACAGTAAGATACTAAATTATAACTCCCCTTGTAAGAACCAAATGGGATGTCTCTAACTTAAATAACTCTTTCGTAGCATATGAACAGCAATACTCAACTATGAGCTAGGCAGTGGACAGCTGTAAGAATGAAACTGTAATGACTGCAGGTTCTTAAAGATAAATAAAAACAGAAAATGGCATCATCCACTCTCACATACCCATTAGAAAAGCTACTTGAAAGCTTTTCAGAATGCTTCCAGAAAGGCTGAAAAAATGCTTTGGAAGACAGCAGCAATACAGGACTTACTGTCTTGGTAACACAGAAATTATACTTTGATTTCCACTAACAATCAAAGCACAAGTGGACAAAATTCTGGTGCTTCAGATTAAAACTGGCATGTCTTTTTTCTATAAAAACCTGCTATTGTTTTATAGCATTTTTCAAATTATTGAGCTATGTCTTACGACATACAGTGCACTTGTAACCATAAACAAATTGGTATCTACAGTTCTCCAGTCCTGCACTGCTTTCAGAAAGTCAACTTTGGAATATTCTCCACGTGTCAAAAGTGATGAATATTTTAAAGCACTTGTATCACACCACTGGATTAAGTACAAAGATAAAAACAGTAGATGAATGTTCAACAAGTGCTGGTTAACAGCATGAGAGGACTCTAAAGTTTCATTTGTTACTGAACTCTCTGCTTAGCATTTAGCATGACACTATTTGTAAGTTTAGAATATTATATCAATTGCTAGAGTTGCACACTAAAACATTATACACTTACATGAAGTGTTATTTTTATACACTAACTCAGTCTTCTGAAAGATGGGCAGAACTGGCATTTCTCTTTACACACACAGCCACCAATATTATCAAACATGGTACTTGTGCATCTGTTAGTTTATACTGATTAAAGACACGTTAAGGAATGGGTACATGGAAGTCTGAGTTCCAACTTTAGACAGACAGATGAAAACAGTTATGACAGTATAAAACAACCCGAGGAACTCAAACCTTCACTGGCATCCACCAAAATTACCATTATCAATCTGAAATACAATGTATAGTGTAAGATTCAGGTGCATCTCAACATATGCAGGCCTTCAGCATTTGAATAAATTACGCTTTTAGCACTATTTAAGGCACTGTGTAATGTTAAGCCAATGCTACACTAAGAATTTGTTAAAAATAACTGTGGCTTCGAAAGCTGGATGAAGGTGCATCTACTGTCTTAGCACCACAAATCAACTAAGAACACAAAACTTAAGAGGAAAAAAACCCTCTAAGAGCTCATTATTCTCTTAGATGAAAGACTGAATCAACCAGAAAGACAACTTCCAAAAAAGATGCAAACTTAACAAATTAAGGAGCACAGTATCAAGTTTGATTTCAGGCCACCAAGCGAAAGACAGAAAAATGCAGTTGACAACATACTGAAAATATATACTAATGGCACAATCTCCCTATGGAACAGAAAAAGAAGCTAAACCAATGAGGCAGCTACCCATGCATCAGGAATCTTCAACAACCTTGTGCAACTCTTTAATTTATGGAAGTTAAAAAACAGCACCTGATTAAGAGAAATAGAAGAAAATCAAGGGTGAAAATCAAGAGGGCCATGTTAAACATTCCAGGTAGGAAATCACTTGGAAAGGCAGTGAGAAAGACTTGTAAATATAAGAAAGATTATTTTAGAAATTACACAAAACCTCTTAAAACTGAAAATTACAGATCATACAACGGTTAGCTTTCAAGAACTGTTAATTGCAACCATTCCATGAAAATTTTAACTATCTCACTAATTTTAACAAAGAGATGAAGGTGTAGGTGAGAATAAGGAAGAATGACTTCAGTAAATTCTGAAAACATTTAAGATATGCTATAATGAAGACACATTAATAGACCTTACTCGGTCTCTAGTCCTTTGGAATTACCTTGAAAAATTCATGGAAGTTGTGGGGAAAACCAGAAGCATAATAAAAAATACCAATGATGCCTGATGTGCAGGCTTTCGGCACCATGTCACCTGACAGGGAGATGCTATGTAGTTCTAGTTACAAAATAAGGATGCAGCAGCAGATTAAACAAAAATTTTAGATGTATATACAAAACTAAAGTGCTGATAGGTGTTTGTTGCAAAACTGGGACTATTGTGTGGGAGTCTAAATGAAGCTATCTCCTGACCCAGCTAGGAAAAGACTGGTACAATCCATGACAACAGTTTCATTAACAATTTGGATGACAGAAGTTAATAAACTTATAAAATTTGTAGATGACACTGTAGTGGTGGCTCTGAGAACTCTAAGAAGCTCTGAGAGCTCTAAGAAATGCTGAGGAGAGCCTCACACTTCAGTAATCTTGATTATTTATGTAATGGTCTGAAATCAACGAAAAGGACATTTAATACAGACCACAAAAAAAGTTGTATATCTTGGACAAAACACAAATGTAGAAACTTAAGACAGGGCACAACTGGCCAGACAACAGTACAGTTGGGAAAGTACTGAAAATGAGCCACTCCTCACATGAAATATCACAAAGCAAAAATCATAGCTTCAATTCCTCACCTCCTAACTAAAGCAACACAGATAAAACAGAGATGATCTGCTTGTCGTGGTGTGTTTACACAGAAAAAAAAACCAACCAAAAAAAAAAACCCACAAGTTTAAATGACTCAAAGGACTCATCTACTCCATCCCACTCTCCAGAGAAGCAAATCCAACAAGCATCTCATAGCTAGTATTGATTGTTGGTATATTAATTATAA